TTATCATTTCTCTGTGGTTTCTTCTTTCACTCATGGATTATTTAGAAGTGCAATGTATTTATTTGGATTTGTCCTAGATAACTTGTTTTAATTGATCATTTGGATTTGTTCTAGATAACTTATTTTAATTGATTCCTCATTTAATTACATTGTGAGCAGAGGGTATATGCTACTATTATTTCAATCCTATAATTTATTTTAGAATTTGTCTTATAGCCTGGGATATGGTCCTTGTTGGTATGTACAGCTGGAAAAAAAATGTGTATTCTCCAGTTGTTGGGTTTAGTGTTCTATAAACATCAGTTAGGCTAGAGTGTTGATATGGCTGCTAATATTCTCTATGACTTTACTGAATTTTTTTGTCCTGCTTTCTACCAATTGCAGAGAAAATATTCAAATATCCTACAATAATTGTAAAATGTTCTATTTTTTCTTTTATTCTGTCAAGTTTTGCTTTATGTATCTTGAGGATCTATTCTTAGGCACATACCCATTGATGATTATAATGGCTTCCTTATTAATTGATTCTTTGTTTTTAAAGCTCATCTCCTCTAGTTAGCACATAGTTAGATCTTGCTTTTTAAAGAACAATCTATTCTGGTAATCTCTGCCCTATAATTGGAATATTTTGTTCATTACCATTTAATGTAATTATTAATATGATTGTATTAAGATTGTGTTTCTCTTTTTGTTGTCCACTTTGTTTTTAGTTCCTCTCTTCCCTTTTCCTACCTTTTAAAATTGTTTGAATGCATTTTATAATTTTGTTTTAACTTACTGGTTAGATTTTTAGATGTATCACATTGGATTTATTTTTAAACGACTGATCTCACTATCACAAGAAATGTCCTTCTACTTTCACAGTATATTTAGTTAATATTGCACTTCCTTACATAAAATGTAGAAAGCTTGAAATATTGTAAGTCCACTCCCTCACCACCACTGATAGTCCACAGTCATTTGAGTCACAGCCCTACATGTGATGGGTCATTTTTCTCTGGGTACTGGCAAGATTTTCTCTTTATCTTTGATTTACAGCAATTTAATTATGATGTGCCTGGACGTGACTTTATTCAAAATTATCCTGTTTGGTGTTCACTGTGTTGTTGGATCTGTAATTTATGTCTTTCAACAAATTGGGAAGTTTTTCAGCCAGTGTGCTCTCGGATTTGTTTTCTGCCCCATTATCTTTGTTATCTCCATCTGGGACTATAATTAACTGTATATGGAACATTTAGATATTGTCCCACATGTCTCTGTAGCTTGTTCATTTTTTCAACCTTTTTTTCCTCTTGTCTTTAGATTAGATAATCTCTGTTGCTCAATCTTCTAGCTCACACACTCAGCCATTCATTAGGAGAGTGGATTTACATTCTTCCAGGCCTGCTTTCTTTTTAAATTTGAGGCCGTGCTTAGGTTTTAAAGTACAATAGAATTTTATTATGATACGATTTAAGAGTTTAATAGAAGTTAAAAGTTTTAAGTTAAGAGTTTAATAGAAGTTAAACTTTTAAAACTATTTAAAAGTTTAATAGAAGGTTAAAGTACAATAGAAGTTTACAATGATAAGGTTTATTAACAGTAACCATATAATACCATGATTTCAAATATAACATAATTCAAAATCTATCCTCACCTTGACTCCTCTTTAAAGAAAAGGCTGAGATTTTACAATGAGTTTGTAACTAGGAGCTAGGGATCTGGTTAGGAGACAGACACTCGAGCAGAGACTGTACAACATAGTGTGAGCAGGTATAAAACTCCAGGCGTGAACAAAGTGCTGTGGACACACAGAGGTCCACATTGCTGCCACTACCCCAAAGAGTCAGGAAAAGCTTTTGGAGAGTTGACATTTTATTAGAAAATTTAGATAGCAAGAAAAGCCAGGCTTTGCCAAAAAGAAAAAAGAACATTCTAGGTAGAAGTGCTCTGAAGGCCTGTCATGGTTTGGGAAGAGGGGAAAAGGGAAGTAGAGCATCATATCCCCCAAAAGGGCAGTGATAGCCTAGGAGGCCGGAAGAATAAGGAGGCTGCCCTGCACTGAAGACCAAATGGAGAAGTATGTTCTTGTTGCATCTCATGAAGGTGCTGGTGGTGAGGAGCAGAACTCCTCTTTTATCCTGTGAAGAATAAAGCAAACTCTGCACTCAGAGAACTCTCAAACTGCCTATAAAACCAAATCAACCTAAATGAAACAAAAGAGGCGGAACACTCAGCCACCATTCCAATTCTGGCCACCATCTCTCACCTCGGCTACAATATCCTCCGAAGGGGGTCTCCCTGTTATTACTTTTGTCCACCTGCAATTCATTTCCATATTTGCAGAAAATCACCTTCTTAAGACATAAATCAGAATAGGCTCATCCACTGTTTAAATCCATTCCGTGGCTTCCCACTACACATAGAATGTTCCGTGTCCGCACCACTGCCCGACCTCACTCATCACACTTAGTCACAACAGCCTTCTGGCTGACCCCAGTCAGGCCACACTCTCATGGACATTAGGACTTTGTGTTGCCTGCTGCCTCCGTCACTGTTGCCACTTTCCTCCAGCTCTCCATAGGGCTGGCTCCTTCTCTGCCAGTTTAGACATAGCATAACTCATCTCCTCAGATAGACCTTCCCAATAAAGCTCATTCCGATGCTCAATTTATTCCATTCAAAGCATTAACAATTTGTAGCCCTTTCATTTATTTGTTTACCTGATTCGTGTCTACATCTCTTACTGGGATTTAAATGACAATGGTAAAAACTTGGTCTGTCTTGTTCTTCATTAAATCCCCAATGCCCTAGTATAATGCCCAGAATATAGTACCCAACAAATACATGTGAATAAATGGTTAAAACTGAATGCTAAGGTGGTGGTATCCACTCTGCGTGTCACAGAGCAGGGAGATGAGCGGGAGTAAAGGATCAAAGCAGGGAGAGAAAGCCCTATTTGAAGCGGGTGGCCCTAGTTGCCACATGATCTTGCTATGGGTTTTGCGGCTCCTTAGAGAGAAGGAGTAGCCTGTGAAAATGACACTTTGGGTACAGCATCCAGCTCTCCTGTTTCCCAGGTCTGCTGGGCACAATTCAGGATTCCACACTCTCTAGAAGGCCCCTTGGATGCAAGCTCATTCTACCTTCCCCTCTTCTTGCTTCTAAGTCATGGGATGATTTTGAAGAACTTGCATGCTCCATCTACAACCCAACTCCTAGGAGAGCAAACCAATTCTGTTTCCTGGGAGTTTACATCTTACTCTTGAAGACAAGAATAAGAGAAAAGAAGTCATTGTTGAATCCTTGAGTTGCTTTCTTTAAAAAAAAAAACTTTTGCTATTTATAAAATTGGAATACATTTTTTTTGAGTGCTCCTGTCTGAACCCCAGGCTGAGAAATGTAATTAGAAAATACACACTTACCAAGAGTTGGAAGCCTGGGAGAGTGCCTTCACCCATCCCAAGCACTGGATAGGAAAAGATATAAACAAAGCACGTGGTATTGGCGTGCACTTTTATTGAGTGAGATGTGATATTCAGAAAGTCTACAGCACATATGTACCCCAAATAGAAATTCTTTCAGTAACAGTACATTAAACAATCCAGCCCACCCTTCCCACACCCCCTCATCCCACCCTTTGTTCTCTCTTATACATGGTTGTAGAAGAACATCTCTCCATGGCTGGGTTCACTGGGTGTCACCTTCTTGACTCCTTCAGGGAATGTTTGCAGCATTTTGCTATTTTCTCTGCTGCATGCACTTGCAGTACCACCACGGAGGCCCACTCTACTCTGCTGCCTCCTTGCTTTGCAGGGCTCAAGTTAGATGCCAAGTCTCTTAGAATATTAAAATATGACCAACTTCTCCCTCCTGCTTCCTTCTGCCCTCCTTTCTCTTCTCCAAGCAAGTGCTTATCTACAATCTATTGGTAAAAGGTTACTCCCTGGAATGGTGAATTTCTCTTTTTGAATGTGTTCTCTCTGCCTCAGGTTCCCTGCGTCTTGAGCAGATCAGGGCAGCTGGGTCAGAGGCAGCTGTGCCTGTCTAGGCAATTTCCAAGCTGCCTGGCTTTGTGCCTGGTGGGTCTCAGAGAAGTTTAGACGACAATGTGGGTAGCCCCAGAGAGCTTCAGCAGTGGTTCTGCAAGGGGCAACAGAGCTCTGGAGGCCCTTCTGAAACAGGCCAGGAGGCCCTCCTTAGGTCTCACATTGGACAGTAGTGAGACAGGCACACACTCAGTGACACAAGCAGAACCTTCACTGAGTCAGTGTCACAAAGGTCTGCTACTGAATATCAGTGTAGTTATAAGAGCTAAAAATGAACTTTCAAGAGAAGCGCCCTGTCCGTGCCTATCTGCTTCCCACTTCCCACCTCCCACCAGGCCAATGATCCAATGATGCTGAGATGGTTTGGCTCTGTGTCCCCATCCAAATCTCATCTTGTCACTCTCATAATGCCCATGTGTTATGGGAGGAACTGGGTGGGAGATACATGAATCATGGGGGCGGCTCTTTCCTGTCCTGTTCTCATGATAGTGAATAAGTTTCACAAGATCTGATGGTTTAAAAAATGGAAGTTTCCCTGCACAAGCTCTCTTCTTGTGTGCCGCCATGTGAGGCGTGACTTTCACCTTTCCCCATGATTGTGAGGCCCGCCCAGCCATGTGGAACTGTAAGTTCACTCAAACTCTTTCTGTTGTAAATTGTCCTGTCTTGGGTATGTCTTTATCAGCAGCGTGAAAATGGACTAATACAGACGCCTCTCTGAAATTTTAGAGATTTATATTCTTGCTAGAAAAATTAGAAAAGCAAAACAAAACAAAACAAAACCAATCCTCCAGATTCCTCCTCTGAGTGAACTGCATGAGGACATGTCTGTAAGAAATTGTGGGTAGATATCTCAGACAGAAGAAAAAAAATGCACTTTAAATTGACAAATCAGTCCAAACCACAAAGGTTATAACTTTTTTTTTTTTTTTTTTTTTTTTTTTTTTTTTTTTTTTTTTTTCCTTTCCGGAGAACAGTAAAACAGACTTGTTATTGGCAGCCCATTAGTGCTCAGGAGAGGCGGTCTCCAGCATGACATCAGCCGGCGGCTCGACCCAAATCTAGTATTTCACCAGAGAGCCTTATGCTGCCGGCTTTCCAACTGTGTGGAAACGTACGTGGGGGAGAGGGAAGAAGGCATAAATAAGATACAGACTGGAGACTTTTTGATGTGTTTAGCACATTTTTGTGATTTCCTTTAATACGATAGGCCTTGCATAATCTCCCATTAGGAGAACAAAAGACAAGCCTGAGATGGGATGGAGAGTGGGTGGAGAGGGGGATCCATTCAATAAAAAGTTCACTTTGACTAATTAGCATTTTTAATCCAAATACTTAAAAGGGGAGGCGAATTGGGAAGAGAAGAACGAATACCATAGCCGAGTGACTGCAGATATAAAAAGTCCCTTCATTAATTCGGTTGTTTTTAAATTCCTAATTGAACTTAAATAAAGAGGACCTAGAGGCAGCTGTTTCTAATATCGAGTCCCCACCGCACATGAAAGACGCATTTATTCCTGCAGCAGCCTCCCTACCCTTGGGTGTTATCAGCTGAACATGTTTTGAACCTACCTAATGCATTTGAGGTAGCTTGGGTTTATTTTTCTTTCAATAAAATAAATGGTTTTGTAATTAAATTTCTGCACTGCCCGTGCTTAATGGTTACATTGACAAGTGCTAATGTATGGCAAGAGAATGAGTTTGAAATGAAACATGCTGTTTTCGAATCTGCAAGCAATTTTGCAGCGGGGCAATCAAAACCCTCATGCCAGCGAAACGTTTTCATTAATCTGCTCACTCCGCCCCTGCCCATTCTGGCCGGGCGAGGACACTTTTGAGCTTCCCCTTTGCCCACCCCCCAGCCTCGCCTTTTTCTAAACACACACACTCACGCACACATGCGCGCGCGCACACACAAATAGCATGAAGCGAGCCGTTGTTTGAAACCATTTTGCGGTCCCTGGCTGGCAGGCCTGTGGAAATTCGCTGACTTTACACCGTGAAATGTTGCAGCTGTCTCTCTCCTCCAAAAGGAAGCCTGCCTCAATGTTTCAATTCCTGGCAGCCAGTCAATAAGAAAATCTGTCCTTCTGTTTTCCCTTTTTTTTTTTTTTTAAACTTTCCTCCCCCCTTAGCTAAATTTACTTTTGAATACATCTTCTCATAGAAAATAAGGAACAGCTATTACATATCTGGACTCGGTCTGAGCAAACCACTTCAAGCCACGGTAAAGGAGGCGTCCTTCCAGCCTTGAGCCTGGAGAAGGTTCATGAATGGAAACCTGGATAGGCGGCTTGCGGTCTTGGCTGGCTCCACTTCTGCCCACAGCCCAGGAAGGGGGCCCTGTGTCTCCCGGCTGGCCTGCACAGGTACAGAAGGACACAAGACTCTTGGCTCTGCCCGTTCCCTGGAAGCCTGCGTTTCATCTGACCGCTAGAGGAATGGCTTCCCAGGGTGGCGGCTGTCTGGAGCCTGCGAGGTCCCCTCATCAAAGGCAAAGAAGCGGGTACGGGGCCCACAGCTGACCGGGGTGTGGGGAGATGGAGAGCAACAGGGGAGCCTCTGGTTCGGTGGCTGCCCACAAGGTGTGCGACTCAGCATTTTCTCCCCAGGCTGGGGGAGGAGAGCCAGAGGGTTGACCGCAGGAGAGCTGACTCACCCCGGGCTGGGCCAGAACCACAGGCTGTCCTCCTCTCCGCATGGCTCCTTCTTCCTGGTTTTAGGATGGTGTTTAGAGGAAGGGCTTCTGTGTGGTCCCAGCCTCCCTGAATTTATTGCAGGACAAGATGGAGGAGACAGTTGATTATGGCATTCAAGGAGCCGCAGGAAGAATCTCCACCCCTCAGAATTCCCCTACCCATTTTCTAAGTCCTGAATTACCTTTCATAGGGGACAATGCCTTTCATTTCATCATTCAAACAGAAGCGTGGATGCCGAAGTCCTTGGAAAGCAGACGCAGGGAGGGAGATCTCCCCTTAGGTGTACACGAAGGGCAAGGCAAAGCCCATCCTGAGAGGCAGAAAGAAAAAGAACTCGGGTTCGCTGGTGCGTTAGTCCGTTCTTGCATTGCTATAAAGAAATACCTGAGACTGGGTAATTTACGATTTATAAAGAAAAGAGGTTTAATTGGCTCGTGGTTCTGCAGGCTGTACAGGAAGCAGAGCAGCTTCTGCCTCTGGGAAGGCCTCAGAAAGCTTCCCATCATGGCAAAAGGTGAAGGGGGGTTGAGGCTTCTACCTGGTGAATGCAGCAGGAAGAGAGCAGCGGTGGGGGGGGGGGGGGGGGGTTGCTGCGCGCTTTTAAACAACAAGATCTCATGAGAACTCACTCACTACCATGAGAACAGCACTGAGAGGATGGTGCCAAACCATCTAAACCATCGTGAGGAAGCCGCCCCATGATCCGATCACCTCCCACCAGGCCCTGCCTGCAGCTCTGGGGATTACACTTGAACATGAGATTTGGTGGGGACACAGATCCAAACCAAACGGTGGGGGTGGGGGAGGAAATCTTGGCAGGGGCAGAGGGCAAAGAAGTAGGGGGACAAGTGTTAGAGCTAACAGACACATTCACAGCAGCCCTGTGAAGGGGGCAAAGTTCCTCTTTTAAACGGCCACAGTATATTAATGTAAGTCAAGACTTAATCTTATCCAGGGTAAAGGGGCAGAGAGGTCCGTGCCCCAGGAGGAAGAATGGAAAGCAGTGGGGAAGGGAAGGTGAGGGGCTGCTCATGGGCCTTGGCAGGGTCTCGGCTATGCTCCTGAAAAAACTGAGCTGTTCATCCTGTCAAGTGCTGTGATCTACCACTCAGCTTACCACGAAAGTTATCATAGTTACTATGCCCACAAAATAGTAGAGCCCTTCGTTCGTTCCGCAAATAGTAAGTTGCTTCTCACATTCATTTATTCACGCAGAAAATAAGTCCTCACTATCAAATAATGAAAAGAGCCATGTTCCTGGGCTCCTTCAGGATATAGCGTAACAAAGACAAGGATGAAATACGTGCTGTGATGGAGAGACCAGCGAGAGACTGGCAACATGCGACCCGACTTCAGAGGAGGATGAACAGGAGACAGCTTCATGAAGAGGGGAGCCTTAAAAGCCAGGTAGGATTTCAAAAGGGGAGGATAATGTTCTGAGGCAAGGAGCCAGCAAAACATGCAGGAATAAAAGCAAAAATTGTTTCTGGGGAATGATGAGTGGTTCCAAACGAACGGAGGAAAAGTTAAGCACCTGTGGGGTGTGTGTGTGTGTGTGTGTGTGTGTGTGTGTGTGTTGGTGGGGGTGGGAAGTGGGATTAGGAGTTATGAGATGCTTTGTTTTGCAAACCACAAGTAACCCTTAAAGATGTTGGAGACTTGTGGATGGAGTGAGTGGTGATGCAACCCAACCTATATATTTGTAATTGACCCTGTGAGCCATAAAAAGGGCAGGCTGAGAAGGGATGATGTTAGAGGCAGGAGGACCAGAGACTATTTCGGTAGCCCAAGTCAGAGAGGAGGAGGACTGGCAAGGCTAAGGCAGTGTTCCTGGAGGGAGGGGATGGATGCTGGGACCCTGCAGAGGTCAGGGGCAGCCAGTCAGGTGTGGCGGCAGGAAAGGAAGTGCTATCAAGTAGTCTGCTGTCTTCAGGGTACTGAGACGATGGTCACAGCCAGGACAGAGACTGTGTACTCTGACACAAAAGTGGATTTGGAAAAGGGCGAAAGAAAACACTAGTTCTGACTGGATACCTGGAGTTGGAGTTGCTGGTGGTGACTGTCATGAAGGAATATTCAGGAAATAGTAAACAGATAGATGGAACACAATAGGAGGAAGGCAGAACTCTGAAGAATGCCCACAGCTAGAGGAGCCAGTGCAACAGACAACACGGAACCACAGGGTTAGGAGGAGAGGGACCATAAGGAAAAGGCGGGGGGGGGACTTCCAAGAGGAAAGGCTGGAAGGCATTTCTGATGCTTCAGGGAGACCCGAGAAGGGGAGATGGTGAGGCAGTTGGGTTGGGCAATAAAGGAGCAGTTGAGCAGGGTGTGGGAAGTAGAGGCAGAGAGAGAGTTTGCACCTGGCTTTGAAGAAGTTTCACCGAGGTGAGTGCAAGGAAAGTTTTCTTTGGGTGATGGGCGCTTGAGCAATATTCAAGGAGAAATCATAAGGAGGGAGAGATTGAGAGGCACCCAAGAGAGGACTCTGATGGAGCAGGATCATGGGAGAGGCAGGAAGGGGTGGAGCAGTTGGCCTTGCAAAGCAGCAGGAAGAAGGTGTGATAGACCAGAGAAGAGCTGAGGTAAAGACAAGGGGAGGTAAGAGGGAGGAGGAAGACAAAAGCAATCAGATCCTGTGCTGAGGGTGAGGGGTGGGGACGACGGTGATGGGAAGAGGAAAGTGGCTTGGAAATTTGAGGCAGGGAGGAAAGAGTATAGAAAGTCAGGCAGGAATGAATCACAGGGCATTGAGAAGCATGAGAACCCAGCTGAAGATGGAAGCCCAGCTCTGCACAGCCTGGTCTGCACAGTCATGATGTTTGCTCCAGCTTTTCGGGGCAGTCTGGAAGCCGAAGCAGAAGCAAAGAGCAATAGTGGCGGGAATGCTCCGGCTACGGACAGCGCTGCAGCCGCAGTGGACAGCCAAAGACACAGGACCTTAGAGGATGATCAGAGAGAATTTTACAGCCGGAAGCCTTTTTGTTGATACGGGTGACCTTCATCTCCAAGACCGGTACAGCCTTGTCTTGGGTTAAATTTGGAGACCAAATTTGAAAACGTTTCACATAAATCTCTCCCAGAAAGAATTGTGAACCAGGAATGAGAACAAATTCCTGTTGCAGACATTGTTTCTCTTCTTTCCTTTGGCTTTCCTGTGCTGTGTGATGCAAGCAGATGACTTAAACTTTTTACCTATTCCTCCTGACTGCCTGCCTCTGCGATGCATTCTGCTGATTTATTAACGTTCTGAAAGGAAAGTACTGCTTAAATTAAGGCAATCTCACTACGAAAGTGGTTTTATTCTACAGAATTCTGTAGTGTCTGTCTGCCCTCTCCTTACAGCAGTCAAACAAAACAAAAACAAACAAATCCAGTTTATTCGAAACCTCTCTGGTCTTTTGGCTTGTTCTTGATGTTCAATGGGGTTGTTGAAGCTAAACAGATATTAAACAAAGTCTACCCAGTTTAGTTTGGGAAATTAAACACTATCAGCCATGGTCAGGTCTGCACACTCCATGTAGATGGAGAATGCTGGTGTTGGTTATGATTGCCTTAAGTGCTTATTCTCTGATCAAGAGGCAGCATCGTAGCCTCCACCAGAGTGGAGAAAGGACCGTACCATGGATACCATCCACCATTACCCACGTTACTGACAAGGGGCAGTGATGCATGGGATCTGTTCCTCCTGTACCAGCTTCAAGCATCTGCTGAAAGAGATTTTTGAAGCCACTCCTTGTCTCCTACTAACTTAAGGCTTGGGTGCTGTACCGTTAGCCAGCCAGAGTGGAGCAAAGAAGGCCAGAGCCCGAGAAAGGCCTCCCCAGCATCAGCAGCCCCCGGGTCTGTCCAGCCTAGAATTCATGACTGCTGAGACTTGGGTGTGGCTTGGGGATGGGACTCTGAGGAGCCTTCTCCGCAACTCCAGAAGGCAGAGCATGGACTGAACATTGACAGGAACAGCTATGACAGTATAGCCCAATACTCCTGTGAGCTCTTCACATGTTCTCATCAGGACCATGTCTAGGAAGAGTTAATTTCATCAATTGACTTCCTACTGTCTTAAGTGGACGCATCTTTCTCTCCTAGTTTCCGAAGGAGTCATTTTACTTTTACCAGCTTGAATTTGATGACCAACCAAAGTGAGAAAGTAGTGAATGATCGCTACTGGGAGTCTATGATGTACTAAAGCCTTTGCTAAATGTTCGCCTGTGCTAAATCGTTTCACCACATGCTTGTGATTTAGGTAGTTTCATCTCCATTTTACCGACAGAGAGTTAGGCTGTACTATCTGGCCCACCTACGTTTGTTCTCCACGTTTCGTCTTATTGCCTGTAATACCATTATATGTTGCCCTATTGCAACCTCTGTCTTTCCAAATTAAAGAATTGATATTCCATGTTGGTGTATGAGGAGAAGAGGGTTAGACACCTAAACACGTTGGCTGGAAACCGCTACATCGTTCATCAAGTGTTATTAAGACGTATAATATGCTCAGCACTGGAGGGAGCAAGTGGAAAGAGGGCTCCCAGCTGCGAGAACGCTGCTGCCTGTTTCGGGATACCCAGAAAAACACGTCCACTTGCCTTCTACTTGTCTTCCTTGTAGCCGAGTCCCAGAGGCGCAGGCTGTCATTTCAAGATGCAGAACAAGCATCACAAAATAATCCT